TTGATTAAAATTAATGTGTTATGGTCCTTATAATTCTAAACAAAATAATGCAACCCCCATTACTGTAACAATTACGGTTCAAAAGTTATTGCAACTTTTCTGATTTTTTCCTACAAAATTATCATAGTTACTCCCACCGCTTACCCATGATAAAGGTTGTTAACAAGCTATGGGAGAAAGTATGTGTCAGATTGCTGATACCATTTATTTAGTTTGGACAAGAGTCCAGTTTGGTCAGATGCTTTCTAAGGTGTGGGAACAAGAAGTAGCCCACTAGTTTTGGGCTATTTAGAGTTTCCCTACTAAGTAGAGCAATTGTTGAAAACATTTGAAGCTAAGAAGCACTTAATACTAATCTCACCGGCCTAATTTTAGTAGACTTTCTGTTGAGGTAGAAAAGCTCCGCTTGTAGACCAGATTCAGGGTTTCTCGGGACAAAGCTGAGCAACAAATGATCTCCTGTAGGGTCTAGGAACATGCCCGACAGTCTCAACTGGGGACACAGCTTTGAAAAATCAATCTCTGAAAACAAAGATAATTTAAAATCACATTTACTTTTAAAAACTTCTATTTCTGACAAATAAGTATTGGATACATTGTGTTTGATAAAAATACATTTTTTAACTTTGTACAATTAGATCTACAGTTCTACTGGTTCGATTTAGTTGCTTTTTCATTTTAATAGTTTTTATGTAAGCGGACCGGTAAGTTTAATAGTATAAAAGTTTTAAAGCAAAACCCCGATATTAACTTAGATAAACACCTGGTGTAGTAAAAATAAACTATTCGCACACTTTAAAAAAATTTTTTTTTTAAGTGTGAGAATAGTTGATTTTTTTATAATGAATAAGCGGTTTGACAATACTATGAGGAAACTACATTGAAAGTATATGCTATTTAATAGAAATAGCTTTCTGATTCTCTTTTCTTGCTCAGGCACCAGTTCAGCAGTAAATCACAAATACAGTGGAAGTAAATAAGTTCAGCAGGCACTGAGGAGTGCATCGGAAACAGGCTTAAACATTCTGTTTGCCCACTTGAGCCTTAATAGCAAGGAAATGTAAAATTTAAAATTAAAGATTTAATTGTTTCTTGTGGGTTGGCAAAAGTGAGCATTCTTATGAACAAGAATTAGAAAATGTATATTTATCAAAAGAGAATTAACATAAAAAACATAGGCCTAGGCCTATCAGTACATATTGTATATTGTATATATTATAATAGTTCCTCAGAATGTCAAAGTTTTTCTACATTACAATTCTCTTAATGTGATTCAGATTTATCTATACAAATTAAACACACAAAATTATTACTTGCCTTCAGGTTTGTCTGGGGCTTTCAAGTCTATCCGAAATAGGATTCCGTTGGCCATTGCTAGTACAATAAGCTCGCTGCTGACACACATGTGGATAATCTTATCCGGAGGCGCAAAGTTTACTTTCTGCTTGTAAAACATGGGAGTCTCATCTTCTACAGCCATATTGATGAAACCAGATGCTGGTTTCTACAAAGAAATAAAAACAACCATATTTTTTGGTTTGTTATTTGTTACAATAACTTAACATGATTGTTGAATTGAAATATACAGTAAATATTTTGTTTTCAACTTTTTTTAACCGGAAAAAAATGAAATTCATTACAGTAAGTTAGAACTTCTTTAATCCGAACCCCTGTAATCCGAACGTCCACTAATCCAAACGCCTCATTGCTGTACTCTATACACAGTACATTAGTTCTTTATTGTAGGTATACTGTATTTTATTGATATACACACCATAATGGTTTCTACTGTAATGTACAGTACTGTTTATTCACTATGTTTACTACTGTATTAAAAAAACACAATGTGTAGGGCCTATTTTACTATATAGGCTAAAGCATTTTTACTTTTCCCGTAAAAATTACAATCCATTTTAGCCACGTTTTAAAAGTAAAAACAACAATATGTTCTGTAATTCGAACTATTCAATAGTCCGAACTACCCCCGGTCCCAATTAGTTCGGATTAAAAAGCTTCTACTGTATAATGAAATTTTAAAACAGGCTAGGCTAGACATAGGGGTTGCGACATTATCACTTAGATAAAATCCATTAGTGATTTGGTGGGATTTGAGCCCGGGAACTCAGGAACCGAAGTCCCGCCCTCTAACCACTACACCAGCTCGCTCACCAAAGTAAGTATACAACAACCTGAAGTTGGCCTAAAACTTACTTAGAGGGGATTTGGCGGGCTAAAGTATGACTCATCTGTTATCATTCGATTCAAAACGAAACTAGGAAAGCTCTACAAACTGATAATCCAACCTTACATAACCGCCGCAGTGTGCTGTATAATGGTGGCCTCCGTATACTATCAAAGTAGGCCTAACTTACCAAAAGGGAGAGTGGGTACGGTACCTAATTCTGAGCAATTACTTGGTCAACCCCAAACTTTTTCATATTTTACTACGGTCATAAGGATGTTCTCAAAAAACAAGAAACATATAATTCAAGCCCCGCAAGGCCATCGTACAGGTTGCCGAGCGATAAGAAGGTTCAAAGTCCACGTGATAACAGTGGCTTGCAGCGGGAGACGCGCAGAAGGCCAGATGTGACAGTACCATTATGATAGGTTAGGTTTTGAATTAACCATGGTAGTATACTACTATATGTATGGAATTAACCTAACCCAGGTTAGGTTATGTATGTGTGTGTGTGTGTGTACCTAACCTAACCTAACCTTGTGGGGCTTGAATTATATGTTTCTTGTTTTCTGAGAACATCCTTATGACTGTAGTAAAATATGAAACAGTTTGGGGTTGACCAAGTAATTGCTCAGAATTACCGTGGGTACACTTCCATACAGTATCTGTTGGCACAAACAACCGAATGAGTGATATTGATTATTCAATTGTTTAATTCGATATATCGTTTCGTTGGGTAGGTTAGGTTAACCTTACCTAACTAACCAAATGATATATCGATATATATTAATCGATATATCCATCAATATTTCCATTCGGGGGTACAGTTTCTTAACTGGGCTATGCTAATATCGATAGAAACTATCGAATTGAAAATATTGATTAACCCTAGATCTGGCGGTCATTTTAGTCCTAAGTGGCGGGTGTATTTTGGCCTTTTTGTAGTGGTACCGTATATTTCGCCACAGAGCAGTTATTTGTAAATATAAGTATAAACATTTACGTATGTTCTGTTTCAGTGATAAATGTAGAATGTAATGGTATTAAAAAAGAAATTTTCTAGCAATGCGTTTAGGCGTAGTGGCTAGTGGTTTGGAAATTTTCGGATTATGCAAATTATAAATTTCAAAAGCAACCCTCAAGAAAGCCAACAAATAATTTTTTTAGACATTTGATCTAAATGTAAATGTTGTGTGGAATATGATTCCCTACGTAGAATTATCAATGTTTTTTAAATACTCCTAAAAAAAAAACCTGTTTTTGTTGCCATGCGACTAAATCTTTCCACCGCCAAAATAAATTTTGAACACTCTAGTTTTTCAAACTATGTTTTTTCGCTACGTAATTCTCGCTCAATGATGTTTTATACATGCAAATTAATCCTCAGAATCTCATCTTTCTAATGGTATAAGACATTTCGGTTTTAAACTGTTTCAGTAGGCCTATTATAAAAATAGAAAGTTCCAAACTATGTCGTTCTGGTCCCTAGCGGACCACCGCCACTGAGAACTCATCATTTTCTGGTCCCCTAGGGACCAACGCCAGATCAAGGGTTAATAATCGATATTTTTAAATATATTTATTAGGCTATCAAATTAAACTATCATAACCTAACCTAACTAACCAAACTTGCTGATGGTGAAAAAATCGCACGAAGGTTTACTAATCGAATCGATGGTTTCAATCGATATTAGCATAGCCCAGTTAAGAAACTGTACCCTCATTCGGTTGTTTGTGCCAACAGATATGGAAGTGTACCCGGGAGTGTTCCAACCTAGCCTTTTGTACCAGCCTATGTAACTTATAAAACTTACCACTTCTGGTCCAGCAGGCGATGATGGAGCAGTTAGGCCCATGGTTCGTTGAGATGTCTGCTCATACTGATCTAATAGAGATGTCATGATGATTTATTCAGTTAAGAAAGGGTTAGATAACCTACAGATGATTAATTGATACTGTCTCTAGTTTGTGTACAGTAGCTCTAGTTTGTGTAGATTGGCGACATCCTAATTTTCTGCTTAAAAATATCCTATTGGCCTAAGTTATTTAAAAGGCAAGTTTCATAACTTTTGGCGTAGACTTAATATAAATTTATTTTCATGTCAAGTATTGGTTCATAATTTGAATTTTAATGAAAAGTTTGCCTAATATCTACAAAATTTAATGTCTAAAAATACTTCCAAGAACTCCAGTGAATCTATGAAACAAAATCAATCAAGCTGTAAGATGCTGATAGAAGTTTCAGTTTCTCTTCTCAAGTAAATTAAATATTTTCTCAAATTTATGTAGACTGTTCTGTTATTCTGTTTACTTCATTTTGACAGTCGTGTCGAAGTCGAGTCGAAGACGGTCCTCTTCCCCTCTCCAGTCCAGAGTCCTCCTCAGTCCAGTCACTCACTCAGTCCAGTCTAGTCTTCCAGTGAGCTGAGTTATATCAGATCACACCGATTTCAACACGATTTCAAGAAGTCCCAACCACTAACCAGTATGTTTCTATATTGATTAATATATAACGTAAAATTTATTTATCGTTTGTTTTTTTGTAAAAGGTATCACAAAATAAATTAAAAATATCGTTGCCAGATCTTCATGAATATTGAGCTATGAATTTTTCTTGCTTTAGTGTTAATTTTATATGTCGTAAAATATTTCATATAGTTATCATCTATTCTGAAATTATACAGACGACAAAATCTAGTTATCATTTAACATTGCCAACATGGTTAGACTTGGCCTAGGCGCAAGTGAAATGTGTTTTTTCTCAGCTGATAAGTATTTAGAAGTATTCCAATTCCAATCATACCACACTCACTGATGATGGTTGGTTAATTTGCGAATTGCGATCTGCTGTGTCGTCCTAGTTAAGTGAAAGCTCTACATTTATTTATTTTTACAATTGTTACAATTTCACGTGTAAACATACTAAATTAACGATAAATATGTCGTCCAACAGCAATGATGATAGTTCAAACGAAAATACCTGTGTTGTATGCTTCAAAAATGTGGACATATTTTCGGTTGGTGACTGCGATCACCCAGTTTGCTATGAGTGTTCAACACGAATGAGGGTTTTATGCAGACAAAATGAATGTCCAATTTGTAGACATGACATGCAAAGGGTAAGCCAAAGTATAAAAAATAGTCTATTGTTATGCACTGCTGACTCCCACATTGTTTGTGACATAATAGGCCTAACCTTAGTTAACAAATCACATTTTAGGCCACTGTAACCTTTACTTTATTTGTGATAGGTACAGTTCCGCAGACAACCTGCAATAGGCCTATGCCTATTATCGGACTAATATTGATTCAGTGTTGCCAGATTGGCCAAAGTAAATTATCGTACACGCAGTCCAAAACTATTGTAGGTATTCTGGGTAAAATAATCGTACACGTAAAATATATTATATTGTGATATAAGTTAGCCCTAAAAGGGGTACAGTTTCTTAACTGGGCTATGCTAATATTGATTGAAACTATCGATTCGATTAGTAAACCTTCATGCGATTTTTTTGCCATCAGCAAGTTTGGGTGGTTAGGTTAGGTTATGATAGTATTTTATAATAGATATATTTAAAAATATCGATTATTAATCAATATTTTCAATTCGATAGTTTCAATCAAAATTAGCATAGCCCAGTTAAGAAACTGTAAGTTACCCCCTAAAAGTGCTATTCAGAGGATGAATTGACCAAAATTTGACTCTCTTGGCCTCTGCCGCTTACAATTGCCACTCTGGTTTTACAACAGGAAGCTACCGGTAGTACAACTGGATGATGTAGCACTGGCTCGTCATCTCAGCTAGGCCTAGATAAGTTAATCAACACCCTGTAAAATTTTGTTATGTGCGTAGAGGAATGAACCTCAGTACATACATGTAGCTTATGGATTTATTACAAAATTACAATCCCCTGTTCTCCTATTTCCAATGCAACTTACTAAGAAAGAGCAATAACTTATACCCCTGATAAAAATCGCAGTCAACGTCTCTCAATTCTCTTGTTTTACCTGCAGCTGTATTTGTAACTCTAGCTGAGTGAGCTGTACGGCACTGCACCAGCTGAAGTTGATGTTTTTTTGCAAGGTTGCCACATCAAACGACAATAATGATGTTGCCGTTTTCTTTGCATTACAAGTGGCAAACGTGCATTTAAATGTACCATGAATCAATATTAGGCTAAATATTTTACTTTCTTGGTACTGGAAAATAGTCTTATTTTGTGACGAATAATCATAATTTATGCACGGTAGCCTACACTTTGTCAAATTTAATTGTACAATTTTGTAAAATTAGGCTATTTTTATGGAGAAGGAGCAAAAATATTGTACAAATAAAAATGGTAGGCCTACACCTGGCACCACTATTGATTATAGGGTTAGGTGCAGTAGCTTTATGCGAATTTGTGACTGCATTAAGTGTTTTGAAGTTAGGTAGGCTAAAGATTAGGAAGATAAAGTTTAGGTTACAGTGAATCGAGATGTCGGTTTATGTTACCTGCAGACTGTTTATGTACAATTAAATCCCTGAGATAAAAGTACTATTTCTAAAATGTTTGCATCCATTTGCATACATAATCCCTTTTCCAAAATGCAGTACGTTCTACTATGCCCAATTAAGTTACAATTTAGTTACCGGTTGCTTACCTGTAGGCCTATGTTTTAGCTGAATTTAGTTTAGTTTAGTCAGGAGCCTATTCTCACACATTGTGAATATTGCAACCAATTGCAAGTAACTTAATGTTATTTATTCAAACAGGTGATATTTACAAGGTCTGTCCGCCCGTTTAAGCAGCTGGAACGAAGTCTCAGTCTGAGGACAGCTGTTGATCGCAAGTTCCAGATAGTGTTTGAGAGTCCAGATATTCAGGCTGCGTATGATGCTTTGCTTGCTCATGTCTGTCCCAAATGTCCAACCCGTCACGCATTCCAGACATTTAACCATTTGCGTGACCATGTGCGGAAGGAACACGAACTCTTTTACTGCGATCTGTGTGTTGACAATTTAAAGGTGAGTTAAAACTTGAAATTTTGTTATCATTTATTTATTTATTTACAGAATGCCATTACATCATATGACTGGACATTTGATTTTGTGACGCAAAATTATAGGGGGGGGAATAAACTAGTATTCACCAAGTCAGGCTAGGCCTACCCCTAGAACTGGCCACACTCAAATTTCTTCCCCGGAGTGCTCAGAAGGAGCCGAGAAAAATCCAGGGGTCAATACGAAGTTGTCACGGCTTTGACTGATCAATTTATTTAAAATTTAATCGAAGGCTCAGAGCTCAGGAAACATTCAGGAAATCCTGCAGACGCTCAGTTGGAGCTATATATCATCCTTACCTTCGTTAAAGTGTTTTGTTAAATTTTGCCTAACCTTTGGAATGACTCTGTAGGGCCGACGAGTATTCAATCTTAAGCCAATGTGATATAAATACTCGTATTAAACTGTAAACTATCTGGCTAAGGACGTTGGTAAATAATATAATATCGAATAAAAGGTAAAAACAACTCCTACAGAGTCGTCGGGCCTAATTAATATAATCCAATGGAGAATTTATCGTGGGATGATTTAAAATAGATTTAATATTAATATTCGTAGCTGTTTGATTGTTCAAATCAGCTGCTCCCAAGACTTGATTCTTTCACCCGCCAAAGACGGGGTTTAGAACTTAGACGACAAGTCTCGGGGTATTAAAACGACGTAAAACGGGAATAAAATCTGAACGGCAAAACAAATAAACGATAGATTTAATAACAAATTAAATTAAACGAATGCAACACTTACGGCCACTGCTAGTCACTGGCAAGCAGGAACTGGCGGGTCAAGACTCAAGTTAAAGTTATTAAATTTATACCATTCGAATCTGGACTTTAATACAGCGAATACGAATAATAGATTAAGAATTGAGTGAAAAGAAAATAACGTAAAACGTGAAAAGGTCCTAACTAAATATGCTAGCTAACCTTCGTAACAAAATCGTACAGTAGTGTCGATTATCGTGCGAGCGTGGATGTAACAACGAAGTTACTTTCAAGACGGCGTACGAACGAATAAACCTGTCTTTGAGTAAAATCCTTCGTTCCTGCCCGCTCGAGGCTTACGCGCTCAAGCGGCGAACTTTAGTACTACTAGATAACAGCTGATCGAATTCACTTGTTGAGCTGGTCTAGTTTCGTCTGTCGTCTGTCAACAAATAAACACCAGTTTGGGGTTATGTCGTCGGCGGCGTTAAATGTCTGTAAAATCGGTCGGTTTAACTTTATTATGTGAAACGAAGTGCTATTATGAATAAATATGTAGTTGTGGATGTGTTTGTGTACTTCACTGTGAATAAAAATAGGCCTACGTTCTTTGGCCCATAGCCCAAGCAAGCTATGGCCAACACATAGGCCTCGGAGTAGGCTATTGTGGTTAAAAATCGGGTAAGTTCTGATGTTAATTTATTCGTAGTACGTTTTTACCCCCCTTATAATTTGGTACCTTACACCCCTTACCAACTTCAGCAAAAAAAGAAAAAAATATCTTAAACGTAGGGGTTCGGACGGGGTCAGAATGGTCTCGAAGAACCTGCCTGTAGAAGTCGTCGTTTAGTCGTAATCGTTCGTATCATATCAACCAACGGGAGGGATATCACCAGCTCCGTCGGGGCGTGCGTCGGAGTTCGTTGCGTTGTTCGATCGGCTCTTCGGTTTCAAAAAATTCCTACGTCGGGTCGGGCGTCGACCACGAGGCACGTCGGCCACCTCCGATGTGAGGTGACTCACCGCGATAAGGCCCGATTGGCCGTCATTCGTCGCGGTTAGCCTCGATGCGTCGCCTTTCCGGTCTCGGCGAATTCGTTCGTTGGGACGTTCACGAGGCACGTCGGCCACCTCCGATGTGAGGCGACTCACCGTGGCCAGGCCCGTTTGGCCATCGTTTGCCACGGGTTGCCTCGGGAAAGCATCCTTTACGATAGATTGCGTTACAGGATTTTCGTTTGCCCTGAGCCACAGCGTCTGCTCAGTCAACGCCGACTACCCCTAATCGTCGTCAAAAAGCGGTATCTTGCATTCCAGAAACTGCGGTCGAATTCGGATATCATGGGCCGCATAAGCGGTAGTCCACGATATCGTAATCACCGTCGGGTTCATCGGCTGACCGATGCTTCCCAACGGGTTTCTCCAAGACTCGTAAAAGCGTTTGCGAAGCTCGGCGACGCTACTCCCAGTTCCCAGCAGATACTTTGTCATCTCAGCTATTATTGTCTGCTCAAAGTGTGGATCCAACCGACGCGCGGGTTGTATATCGGCGATCTCGGTAAGCTCTCCATCGTCGCAGGCGTTACTTCGGAAATTTCATCGTAGTTGTAGACGTCAACGTTTGAATTTCCACCGTGTCTATCGCTACGTGGCTAATCGATAACGTATCGGGTCGAGTAATGGTCGTCGTAGTAGTCGAAGTCGTCGTAAATTTCGTTTAGCTCGTCATTTCGTCTAAATTTCAAAGTCAAAACCGTGTTTTCGAGTCCAAATGTTCGGGCGCCAGAGATGTGACGCAAAATTCTACAAAATGACGGTACTAGGACGTGAGACCGAGGAAGCTCAGTCCCTGTTCGGGCGCCAGAGATGTGACGCAAAATTCTAGGGGGGGAATAATCTGGTATTCACCTAAGTCAGGCTAGGCCTACCCCTAGAACCAGCCACACTCAAATTTCTTCCCCGGAGTGCTCAGAAGGAGCCGAGAAAAATCCAGGGGTCGATACGAAGTTGTCACGGCTTTGACTGATCAATTTATTAAAATTTAATCGAAGACTCAGAGCTCAGGAAACGTTCAGGAAATCCTGCAGACGCTCAGTTGAAGCTATATATCATCCTTACCTTCGTTAAAGTGTTTTGTTAAATTTTGCCTAACTTTTAGAATGACTCTGTAGGGCCGACGAGTATTCAATCTTAGCCAATGTGATTTAAATACTCGTATTAAAATGAGACTAATTAGTTTAAGACGTTGGTAATCGATCTAATATCGAATGTAAGGTAAAATAATTCCTACAGAGTCGTCGAGGCCTAATTAATATTAATGAACGGATAATTTATTGTGATAGGTTTAAAATAAATTTAATACCATTAATTTTCGTAGCTGATTATTCAACTCAGCCTGCTCCCAAGACTAGATTCTTTCACCCGCCAAAGACGGGGTTTAGAACTCAAACGACAAGTCTCGGGGTATTAAAACGTTGAATTCTAAATAATAATTAATCGTTAAAACGAACGGAATAAACGTAATTTCGTAGCCAATTGATTCAAAACCAAACGTAAGATAATCCTCCGCTAGTCACTGGCAGGCAGGAACTGGCGGGTTTTATGCTGGTCGGCGAAAACGAAGTTATTAGAATTTCGAGGTTTAAGATCGAGTTCTGAAACGAGAATAGTCGTAAAATGAGAATGCGTGCGTTAAACGAGAATAAATTAAAACGTAGAAATGGTCTAACTATTAGAATAGCTAACCTTCGTAATATCGCCGGTCGGCGGGAAGGCGTAGTCTTGTAACGACGATGTTACTTCGTAGACGGCGTGTGAACGAATAATCCTGTCTTGGAGTAAAATCCTTCGTTCCTGCCCGCTCGAGGCTTACGCGCTCAAGCGGCGAACTCAAGTACTACTAGACAACAGCTGATCTGTCAACAAATAAACACCAGTTTGGGGTTAGGTCGTTGTCGGCGTTAAATACCTGTAAAATCGGCCGGTTTAACTTTATTATGTGAAACGAAGTGCTATTATGAATAAATATGTAGTTGTGGATGTGTTTGAGTACTTCACTGTGAATAAAAATAGGCCTACGTTCTTTGGCCCATAGCCCAAGCTATGGCCAACACATAGGCCTCGGAGTAGGCTATTGTGGTTAAAAATCGGGTAAGTTCTGATGTTAATTTATTCGTAGTACGTTTTTACCCCCCTTATAATTTGGTACCTTACAATTTTAGGAAATTGGATAAACTATAATTTAGTGAATATTTTAGACTAGGCCTACCTATCAATATTAGCAAGATAATTTTACTTGATTAGCAGTCCACAGTATATGTAGGAATCACTAAATATTTTAAGATCATCGTACCACCATCCAGTTGGTTTGTCAGCTCAATTTACCATCCATGTGATGACTTCTCGCTTGTGAAATGATCCTATTGAATCATCAGGCCAACAAATATCATCTGGCCCAGGATGGGTAATTTGTGTAATGCTATAGGCCTACTGATGGTTCTAAGATCAAACATGGGAGCACCGGAGCAGGTGTGCTTTGAAAAACAATAAAAAACAAACTTAAGCCATTGTAATCTCAGAAATATAATCTATTTTTATTACAACATAAACATATACAAATATTACCAGCTGTTAAAAGAAATAGCTTGAACCTATGTAAACAAAAAAGGTAAACATTGGAACTTTAAAGCCACTAGGGCAGAGCCCAGGGAACTTTTTCAACATGTAAGACCTTATATGACATCTACTCAACGAGATCTTTCCAATGAGCCCTAAACTAACAAAATTGGTTGAGGAACCACGGAGGAGTTCTGCCGACAAAAATCGTGCCTGCCTATTTTATTTTATATATAGATAAAAGAATTTTGTCAGCTGTTTCAACTGCACAAGTTGGTTCTATGATAATAAATAGCATTAAAAAGTTATAAGGCTTACCAACAGGGTGCAGCACTATTGTTTTTTTTTTGCATTTATGACAACAGCTAATTTGAACCAACTAGCATCAAAAAGCTGTGGTACACAATGAGAACTTTGCTTTTTCTATGGGTTAGGTACAGTAGAACATTATGGCTATGGTAGTGTGCTATACTATAGCATAGGCCTACCGTATGAATTAAAAGAACCAAATTTTCTTATACCGGTGTCCGGTACCTCTCCCATAACAATGCAATAAGCATTTTATACTTATATGCCAACCCCGTACGAAGTACGGGTACTCTGCTAGTCAACTAATATATCACTTGCCTCTTTTTTGCTGAACTAGTGCATGCTTGAATAGTTTTGTTACCTTAAAAAGTAAGCTTTTTATCATGATTACTTATAACATTTTACCAGATTTTAACACGAGAACGCAAATGCTACTCAAGGCGAGACTTGGCTCTTCACCGGAGACAGGGTGACGCAGACGATCGCTCTCATCGTGGCCATCCTCTCTGCGAATTCTGCGATCGAAGGTTTGTTTTATTGAGGCAGTTTTTTAACAATTTTCATCTATGGACGGTTAAACATTTTTTTTATAATTCGCTGGCCGTAGTGAAGTGCTAATGTCTGACTTAATTCTTTACAGAATATACGCTGTATAAAAAAACTTTATAAAATGGAAGAACAAGAGGTATTCTAAGGACGATCTTACTTTCATAAGTAAATTGGGAGCGTCAGTGAAAGACTAAGCACTAGTTTCAATTCATTGTTTACAAATAGTTAGTGATTTTAACCCTTAGGAGACAAACTTCCAATGTTTCAGAATGTGCATTTTTTGCTAAAAAGACAAACTTCAGATATATTGGCAGTTTAAATCAACGATAGTCTAAAAAAATCTAAAAATACCCCCGCCGCAGCAAACCTGCAGACTAAGCGAATTTCCATTTGACTGATTGGATTTACACTGAAATGTCTACTTAAAAATATAACATTTATTCCGGATTTAAATAGAATTAGTTTAACAAGTACTTAGGTTTTAGCGAACGAACTTCAACCAGGACGTGATTGAGCCATGCGAACGAGATCATCTTGAAAATTAAGAAGTTAAACGGGGCAAAGCCCGCGGGTTACAGCTAGTTCTCCATAAGAATAACATGGGAATTTTAAATTTACAATTTTTTGTAATTTTCTCCGTAACCGTTAGGCGCATAATAACGCTTCAATATACTAAATTATTTGTTTTTTTAAGCTCTACAAAATGGTTTGGAAATAAATTGCAAAATTTTAAGTTTTTTGGGTCAAAAATGGGAAAAACCTATTTTTACCCCATAAAACCCCCCGTAAACACCCGTTCACATGGTCCGATCATGCTGGATCGCGAACTCGTTCGAATAAACGTAGGTTTACACGTTTGTACCAAATTTCATCAAAATCGGATCATTTTTGCTTGAGTTATCGTGCTGACGGACACACATATATATATGAATTTGAACGGATGGTGTTTTTGGCCTCTAGGGACCTCAAAAGGAAAAAAAAAATCGGTCCCGCGTCCAGGTCTTACCATGAGTACTACGGTAATAGCTTATTCCCTATATGGGAAATTCGCTAAAACAAAAAGTTAAAAAAAAAACAAGAATAGCATGCAAGAAATGTTAAAGAGGGCTGATATTCAAAAGTTATAGCATTCTTCTATAACATTGCAGAAATTGTTAAAAGTACCCCGGTCCTATGCAGCGTGTCATATACTATAGGTCTAGTATAGGATCGGTCTCTAAAGGGTTAAGATAATAGAGTACATTGGGTTAGATCACTTGCCAATACAATTAACTCTTAAGATAAGGAAAAAATCACTGAATCTTGACCTCGGAGATGATGGGTATCAGGATATCTAATAGATAACGTTCCTGATATTGTTAGACGATGGATATTCAAAGGACGGACAGAGACTATTTCCTTAAATTTCAAACCTTGGATGACAGACGCTAATTTTAGCTGTTCTTTATGCAATCTAAATGCGAATGAGGACGCTTATAATTTTGTTGCTCGTTGTCCAATTTGAGCACAAATAAGAAATAAATGGTTATTGAAAGTTGTTTTAACTCGCTCAGAGTTTATAGATTTCCTTAATGGAAATATTGGCGCTCGCTGGCAAATTTTCTAAGAGATGCTTGGAAGTTAGGTGGGATTTGGTTTTAGAATTTAAAGTATAAGTCAAGCAGCAAAACAATGTATATATTATAGGTCATTATAAATAGTGTCACAGTTTTAGTCATACTGTATTTAAAAGAACGTTAGTCTGAAAATGTTGTCAACCTGGCAGATGGTCTTATGACCATTGCTGTAAAGTGCTATTTTAGTTTATTTTTTCTTGTTATGCAGAAGATTATGTTTTGTTATAAGTTGATATGTATTTATGCAGTTTATTTTTGTGTTAATAAAGCACTTTTTCATTTCATTTTCATTCATAAAAAACTTTTAATTGTCATTATGTCAGGTTTAATTTTAATAATTTAACTATGTATAATTTAATAATAGTTTTTAAATTAACTATCTAATTTTGGAAACCTGAAATTCCATGTAAGAAAGTTAATCTTAACTGGGCAAATGTAATGTAATTTTATTAAATATTCATACTTAATCTTAAGTTTGTAAAACTTAAATTTTCCTCTTGTTTAAAAACAAAATTTGCTTCATTTATTTATTTAAGACAAATAAATTTACATTTACCATCTTATTGTTAAAATTCAAATATGAAAATCAAGGTAGCGGTACTGTAATTGTATAAACTGTGCTATGTTTCTTTTTAATCTTTTAGTTAAATCTGTTCAATTTTAGCGTTAATCTTCATCTTGTGTGTTGTAGATACAATGACAACGACGAGTTATATAGACATTTGCGGAGAGACCATCTCTTCTGCCACTTCTGTGATGCGGACGGACTGCATCAATACTACGAGTAAGTCTTGTACTTTTAGTAACTGAAGTAGACATCCCATCCACTTGGACCAGCAGAAGACTAATATTATTTATGAAAGTAGATGAATCGCTAACAGAGTACACTACTGTCAAAGTTTAAAGACTCCTTTATTTTTTTGTACATTGCTATTTTTTATTTTAAATAAAAGATGCTACGGCTTGCAATAATGTTGTCCTTTCGATTTAGGTTGGTTTAAAAGATTAATTGGTTGAATTTAACAGCAATCATTACCGTAGGTAATTTACATCAGTGGACTCCGTCGGTACCACAATTCAACCTAATTTGTTTTCACTTTAAAACTGACTACCTATAAATTTAACATGGGAATATGGTTTTTACTGACAAATTCAAAGGTATCAAAGGATCATTGAAATAGATCATTAGGTCCTATCTACCCTTGATCATAGGGCTTTTAGTAAAAAATCATCTGATCTTAGTCAGTTACACACAAGGCATCTCACTTCATTGTACCATAGATAAATCATACTCCCTTAGTAGATTTGTCATCCTTATGGAACAGCTGAAGCCAATTTCATTGTTATTTCTGTACGTCCAACTGTAGAGGTTATGTTTTGTTTACAATTTGTTTCTTGTTATTTCAGTTATTTAAAACCTCATTTAACCAAATAAAACGATTTAATCATAAACAATAATGGCTTCCTACTTATATAACCAAATAGTAAAGCACAAATCATGAAAATAACACTAAAATAATAGAAACAAAATTTTGTCTACCCCAGCGATCAGTGTGGACGTACATGAACTAGACACAAAAAACAAGCTTCAAAATTTACAATGGGATAAGGAGTCTACTTGTGTTGCTTAGTCTATGATTGTACCCTCAACCTTCACTGGTACTGTACATAGGTTAAACTATGTTGCTTTGTGTTCGTGTGTCTCAAACATTTGTAATAATGTGTAGAGCTAAACCAAATATCATTGTTAGTCCATTTGTAATAATGTGTAGACCTAAACCGAATATCATTGTTAGTCCATTTGTAGTAATGTGTAGACCAACACCTAATATCATTGTTAGAACTACAAAATTTCAATGTGCCCAGTTGTATTTAAAGCTAGCCAGATTTTTCTAGACAACGGTGATAGCATTCTTTCAAAAACCTGACTAATCAATTAAATGCTCCAACATAATCCAATAATAGTTTGTTCTGTTGTATTTATCATCCATGGACATGGTTTGAAATGGTTTCCATGTTAGTGAAATGATGCAAGATAACGCAAGTTATCTACTTTCTTTTATCTGATTTTATCGCATGAAAAGAGCTATATAAACAACCAAGTAGTTCTATTATTAAAATATAATAAACCAAAAAAATACATGATTTGGCTGATAGGGATATCTTACTATAAAATTAAGTAATTTTTAGAACCATACTGATTCTGTACATTTTAAAACTGTATGTAAATATTTACTATAATCTATATCAACTTGGCCAAGCAAGATTCTAATGAAGCTTTAACTGTAATTATACAAATGTATCTAATTGTTGAATAGAATTCTTCAAATATTAAAAAAAAGGAAAATAAAAAAAAAACTAAATGACAAGAGCATTGTAATAACTTTTACTAAAATTAAATTTAAGTTCAACATTTATTTGTTGTATTAGCTCATACGATGTTCTGCGCAACCATTTCCGAGATCAACATTATCTGTGTGAAGAAGGTGAATGTTACGAGGAGAAGTTTACCCCTGCTTTTCGGACTGAGATTGACTTGAAAGGTAATTTGATTGTTATTCACCTCCCTTGAGTATCCTTATTTGTCTTTATCTCTTTATTTTTTAACATTTTTTTCCAATTTTGATCATTTTCAACATTTCCTTTACCGACCACAAAATAAATTTCTTCAAACAATCTTTCATTCATTCAAAGCTATTTTAAAATTTAAATACAACGAGGATATCAGGCGTACATGAATGGTAATGAATCTGAACTTAGACAAGAGTCATGCTAATTTACACTATATAGGTAGGTATCTACACAAAACATAAGAATATTTCACCGTAGCATTTTCAACTAAAGAAGACAGATTTTTTTTCACGGCTAATCAACCTAATGATCCTGGTAAGCCTGCTATCCTCTTTTTCATAGTAGAAAAAGGTTTTGTTTCATGTCCGTTTTGAGTTTGAAGAATAAAAGTAATTTCCGCAGTCAGCTTGGTAAACAGGAAGAAAGATTTCACATTCGCACGTTTATCTAAAAAATCTGTCAACACTGTTTTTCAGAGCCAAATTGATTTTCAATTAGGACCCAATAAGTTGTACACTGACTCAGGTGGTGTCAGGCGTGACCATAACTAACACTTGGTTGGACAAAGAGTTCTAGTTTTAATTTACCAGTATATGCTTTTAGGCAAGGTACATTTACTATCCCTCCCCTCCACAGAAAAATTCTCGTCACTTTTAGGTTTCTCGCCTTCCTCTGAGGCTATGTCAATTTTTTCCACTACTTCATTAAGTTCTAAGCTAAAAGTTGATATTTATCTTTTTGTGTTTTTATTGCGTGAAGGTTCTTCTAATGTCTTATACAGAACTTAAGTATTTCAAAGATTGTAATCTATTTAGTTTTTTACATGTTCTTATCTGTATTACACCTAGATATGTTGATGATAGCAGGCTCATTAGAATAAAAACAAGTCCAAACTGGCACAAGAAACATAAATGTTTACACTCTACACAAAGAATTTTAATGTTTTTCTGTCACTGACAGAACTTTCAAACGAGGAGATTTTGAGTCAAGTGAAAATTTGCAGAACAGAGGAGTATTTTTTATTTCGTCCGCTGTGAGTCTCATGAGTTCTGACGTATCTCCTTGTTACAGCCCACAGAGCGTCAGTACATGGACGACAGATGAGCAAGGCAGCAGCCAAGCAGGCGAGAACACTAGAGCTGGCGTTCACACTAAAGCCGAGACCTAGACAGACAGACCACCGCAGGGGCGGGGGCAGATCCTCACGCTACCAGAACAGGTCGGTAATATAAGGGGTTATGATTACAGAACGGTTGATTATTCAACATAATTGCTGATTAGGGGTGTTCGTATAGCTGGTTTTCAGACAACTGGTTATCTAGAGTAAAAATGAGATTCATTACTTTAACATTGATTGACAATATTTAAATTTATTTGTACATATTTACATGTACTATTTACTTGTTTTGATTGTCTCCTGTAATTAAGCAATATCTGTGAGCATAGGCTTATCTCAAAACGGAAACCAAAACATTAAAAAATCAAATCTTGAAAACTTAAATGCAAACCTTTACTTGCATGGTTAAGATAACAAAAAAATAACGTATATCTTGCAATCGAAACTTAAAGAAATTGGGCATTTGGCCCTGGCATAACATGAATATGTAATTCATAGGTGTTTACTTTGTACTTTGATGTTGAATTAGTTAGTTTATGGTACCTGTTCTAGTTTAGAATATAATTTATTTGTTTCATTGGGTTGCTGGTGATCTCTTTGCTCCATTGCTGCCAACTGAAAAGTGAATGGTAGAGTTGTACCCAGATCGGTAGATCCAACTTTTCCACATCATGTTAGGTAGGATGATCAAGACTGTTGTAGTGAACACAATTTTACGTATAATGTGTTTTGTACAGTCACAGTGACGAGGAGGAAGGAGCCGTGGGAGGTGTGGCTGTAGACTGTCGCACTTCACAGCAGACGACGTCCGCTCCAAGCTTCTCCAAGATCAACACAGCTAGTACCGACGATTTCCCTTCCCTTGGTGAGTGGACTTGGTGTGACAGTAAGAATTTGTTGATTATGAACAAATTTTGTATTGAATCGATTCATATGGAGAGTCAGCTGAGAGGTCTTAGTGCTCGCCTGGTAGTGAAAAGGGTTAAATTTAAGAAAAGATGGTTTTTAGGGATGGATGGGTCCCGAAACTTCAGGAAATTTTCGGGAAAAAATATTCCCGATTTTTGGGACGGGATTACATTTGATTCGGGAATTTTTTGGGACGGGATTTGGTCCGATCGTCGGCGATTTTGCTGCTTCGCGAGTGACAATAACGCCGCTATCGCAAGAGATTTTCCACGAACGCAGGAGGCGAAGTCATTCCGCCGATCACGCCGTGACCGCGGAGTCATTCCGACGATCACGCCGTGACCGCGGAGTCATTCCGACGATCACGCCGTGACCGCGGCGTCATAACAACGATCGTGCCGTGACCGCAAGTCATACCGACGATCACGCTGATTCCGTGAGTCATAACGACGATCAACCCGTGACCGCGAGTCACATGTTTCTATAGGTACCTGTAAATTGTTGTAACCAAAAATTTTTTTTTTGTTTTTATAGGTAGTGTCACAAACGGTAAAAGTTGATTTCGTTTGTCTTTTTTGGTAACTACAATACTCAAGACTTTCTTTTTATGCACAGGAAAAAATCCCGTCCCGTCCCAAAAATCTGGAAGAAAATAAAAATCTTGTCCCGTCCTGAACTAAAAATTCAATCCCGTCCATCCCTAATGGTTTTTTATAGCTTAAAACTGTGCTCTCATCTGTTCTTGATCATTGATCTACTGGGGATTTATTTTATATTTATTCATTTACATTTGGGTTCAAATATGCCTAGTTGCGTGTTGCTTACCAATCTTGGTAATGATAATACCAGTTTCCAAATGAATATTCCAAGCCAAGCAGTTTCTTTCTTAAATAAACCAGTTTCCGAATGAGTAAACTTTTGTTTGATTTTCGCAACTTTTAAGGCTCCTTTTACACTTTGCGGCGGGCCGTACGCTGCTGCGTTCGACGGCAGGCACCGCATTTTTTTGCGGCAGCCATGACATTGGTGGAGGTATCAGGACTACCAACTTAGGAATTTCTATATTTACTTCAATCGTAGTACTATCCGTAATTTTACATACACAAAACTTGCAAACTGATGCTAAAAAAAGAAAATCACCTACCACAAAGGCAACAGAAAGTGAAATGGGCAGAGGCAATGCAGTACCGTGTTGTGCTGAGTTTGTTTTAATCATTTGGCAGCATTTGACAGCGCCACTGAGTATAAAAGCTCCTTTATAACGCAATGCATTTAGAGGCCGCTTGTTTCTGCGGCTCCTAGGTGCGCCGTCGTGCTTCAAGCCAGCCGCAGCGGGGAGCGGCCGCCGCAGAGTATAAAAGCACCCATTTAACTCAATGCACTTACAGGGCTGTCGAACGCACGCGAGTATAAAAGGGGCCTCATGTGTCTGAGCTGTAAGGCTTATAAGTTTGTAAACCGACCGGCACTCCTTGGCATATTAAGTGATTTGATGATAGCCTAACAATGTTTTTTTCTCATCACTTAAACATAAAAGATTAGATTATTCTAAATTAAGTGTTAGGTTGCACACTGTAAGGAAGAGCAAAAAGTAACAAAATGCCAGATTTGAGGTGTCATTCACAAAGATGCAATTTTTCCACCTGAGTTGTCCATCGTTTCAAGGTGTGCCTCTCTCACCAGACAGGAACTCTCATGAGTTGTATCAAACTTGATCAAGATGGGATCCAAATCCTCAATATTTGTAGTCTTCGGTTAACACCTTTTGCCATAAATCAAACCTAGTTGTCTAATGCATTAACATGTCGCAGGTAGCATCACATCTCACCTATGTAGCTTTAAGCCTTAACATAACCAACACTTTTTGATGTTGGTTATGTTAGTCTTGCATCCTATATTTCAGACATTGGAGCTGAAAGTTTAAGTAAGTTCAAAAGTTGCATTTAAACTATGTAGTATAAAAATTGTGGATTATGAATTAAGCCCGAGTTAAAATTACAGGAGGGTCCGTCGGTGCCTCATCACTACAAGGAGTTCACTTCCGTAAGCCCGGAGTCACTATACGCACTGGTGGTGGCCTAGCTATTAGGGAGGAAGACTTCCCGGCGCTGGGACCTGATGGCGCAGCTTCAGTCAGTCTCCGAGTCAATACCACCGGCAGCGCTGCAGAGCGTACGAGGAACAAACCCAATGTGTCTATACACGTCAACCACCGACCTGTAAGCATTTTTTTACCTCAATTGTATTTTAAAATTTGAATCGTGGACAACATGAGACCTCTTTAGTTATTAAAATACTTGTGGAGCCTTGATTGAATGAAACTCTCAGTTTAAATTAAACTGTTAATTTTCGTTATCTGTTACCTGACATCCTGACAAATGCATACTTTTGCTATTTGTATCATAAACTTTTGCTGTGTTGTAGTTTCTTACTAGTCACAGTATTAGTATACATGTTTGTAGTTATATTCTGGCTAAAATTGATGCTATTGTGATTCTTATGTACACTGTTATTTATTCCGAAAACCGTTGTAATTTTAAAATGTACTGATTCATTAAGAAATTCATATCATCCATCGATTCAGTTTACAGTCATAATACCCTCAAGTGACAGTTAATAGAGGATTTACTAGGTTCTTTTTTTCTGTTTCCTATGAGTCCAACATTTATTATCTCTATGAAACATTTAACAAAGAGAAAATTTTACACTTGCACTTTTTCTTGTTCCAGACTAGACAAGATTCATACTGTTCTTTAAATTTTTCAATGATCAGTAATTTCCCCCTTCCTTTGCTTTCAATATGTAGGATTACAATACAAATTCTCTAACAATGAGGATGCAACCTTGAAGTGAGATTGAATATTCCTGTAACTAATTAGTACAAACACCACCATGTTGAAGTTAACACTCTAGATAGTTCTTAACATTTATAATTATGTCGGTTCTGATGATAGTAACATAATAGTAACAATAACACTCTTGTTTTACATTTAGGTTAATATGTTTCAGTTTATTTTTTTATATTTTTTTATGTACCATGTACATTTTATAGGTACCTGTGTACAACAGGTACTATGTACTTGTAGCATATCAAATTTAAAATTCTATAAACAAAAAAATATTGGAAAGATGATTTTTTTTCAATAACTTAATGATGTTGAACGTAAAATTATGCATAATTTTAGCTTTCAAGAAGATTTTGCCATTTTATTAATGATTGATTATAGGCTACAGTTGCAGATTTAATTTATTTAACACATATACTTGATAACTTTTCCAGGTGGCATTGTCTCGGCCGAGGGACCCATTTCCAGCGTTGGCAAACGATTTCCCAGCATTAAGTATGAAAACATCCGCTCAGAATACATCTCAGTGGACAGCCAAAGAAACGAGGGATGAACCCAAGTTTGCTTTGAAAACGAAACCTCAGGTTCAGCCTTATCAAAAAGCCAAGGAGAATCAACAGAAAGCCAAGGAGAATCAACCGAAAGCCAAGGAGAAGAAAATGATGTTTGACGATGACTCTTATGAACAAAACGACTTTCCCGCTCTGAAAGGAAATGTGCCTTCACACATTGCTAATTTAGCTTCGACCCAATGGTCATCCGGTCGTGAACCTGAAGCGAAATTCACGGTAAATAAAAACTCCAATCAGCCTCAACCGCCTCCTAAGCCTCCTCAACCAAAGAAATTCCACATCGAGGACGACTTTCCCAGTTTGAACTCGAGGTTCGATGCAAGCTGTAGTTTCTCTCAGGAAGTGAATGGAAAAAAGAAGAAAGATGTAACCCCCGCCCAGAGTGAAAACGATTGGACCAAAGTCGTCAAAGGCAACGATAACATTTCAAGTGACAGTGAGGTGAACGGCAAGAAAGGGAAGAAGAAGAAGGCAAAAAGTAAAAAGGAACCCGAGGTGAAGAGTAAGGTCAGCAACACGAATAACAGCAGTGAAAAGAAAAAGCATAAAGGAGATGAATCTTTGCAGTCTAGTGAAAAACCAAAAAACAAAGAGAAGAAGCGCACAGAGTTGACTATCGAGAGTTTGAATGGTCATTCGCAGCCAGAAAGTTCGATCAACAGTAACGATTTCCCGACGTTAAACAGTAATAGGTTGCCACCAGGATTCAGCCATGAAGGTAATAATTTTGTAATTTGATAGTTTTGTTAGCAATGTTCTTGGCCAGGCTTGATAGAAAAGTTCAGATACACCATAGTGGTACAGTAAATATAGAAGACCCAAAACACTCAATGTTTTGTCCCCTGGGGGACGTTTTCAAGTGTAGACAAGAGATTTTTACAAAATGGCTTATAGTTGCTGCTATGGATGTTTCCTCCTCTGCAGTGTTGACACCGTTCACTAGTTTATTTGAGCTATTTACAAAACATTTTATGTTTAGATTTACTTACTGCCGTGGCTCTTGGTACCCAAAGAAGTACTTTGTCTCATTGTTTTGTAGATTCTAAATTTTGTTTTCCCTGATAACAGCTTTGATTTAATTAGTTTTCCACATGCATACCAACTTTTATTTACTGAATTTATCCAATTTGTAGCAACTGACTAATGATTGTTCACAGACAAGCCATCGGCTCCTCCTGGGTTTGACTCAGTCCCCGCTCCCCCGCCCGGGTTCTCTATCACTCTCAACTCTGTGGCTCGTCCTCCCAGCAACAGTCTTACTTTCACAAGCAGCAGTGGACAGAACTACCCAATATCACCCAGTGAGTAACCTCTCTCACTTATGTTACTCACATCTCATATGTGCACCAGAGTCCCGTTAATCCAAACTATTGGGGCCAGATCTTGTTCAGATTTACCAAATTGTTTGAATTAGCTGGAAATGAAGTAAAATTGCAGCAAAAAAATGAAAACTATAACCTTTATAACTGTAAATGCCCATATATTGCTTGAGTGATCACCAAAATCGCATGATCGTCTTCCGCGATCTCAGCAACGTCATGATCGTCTCTTGTGTTTGCTGAAATGTTTATGATTACATACTGCTATCACAGGTGATACACTCTCACATTTTACCTAAAGACAATCATAAAAGAGAACTAACATTATTATGATTATTAATGGTTGAAGGCGCAAGCATAGGCTTTTGGCAATTATTCCAAATTCCCAGCTTTACAAATTCAATCTCGGTTTCCCCGTGTTAGTATATCAGAATATAGAGCTTTGGTTTTTATATAAATAGACTTTTATATAAAATAACTTTTATTCCCAACAGATGGTTTGGATTACAAGTCTCTTGATGGATTGTGTAACTTCATTTTAATTTTGTTCATGAGTATAAATAAGTATGAGTACGATCAAGTAAGCCAGTCCACCGTGATGTTATGGGTTAGTGTCCTTGCTGTTTTCATCCTTAGTCATTGTCATTTATAAAATTGTAGATAGCCTAATCCTGCAACTTTCTTTTAAACCAGCAGATTTTTTTTTTCTTTATTCGAAAAAGGAGTGGGCTTCCTTGACCATTCTTCTTAAGAAGCTAAATATGGTTATGGAGCTAAAAGGGAGGTTCTGATGCATGCATGGTTTGATTAATGAAGACCACATACCTTATGAGTTTAGATTACATACTATTCTCTTCAAATCTTTGAGCATGGTTCTTTACAGTATTAATATTGGATGTTTAAAACAGGTTTTCGGACCAGTTCCTACTGATGTCAATCTTGTTACACCTTGTTGTGTTTGTAGCTGGAGAAGTGAAGCGAGTGTACTCCTATGTGGCTCCTGTGGATATGAAACGCCGCAACACAAATCTTGTACAGAGAGTGACGGAGGTACTCAAGACCAAACAGGCTCTGGACGAGTTCCTACAGATGTCAGCGCTTTTCAGGTAAATTTATAGGTTATTCTTTAACGTAACTGTTAACTAAAGAAGATTTTGTTAATCTGGTTGTTGATTAGAGCTTTGGTGGTAGTAAATGGTCTTTGAGTTAAAGTAGAGAGATAATTCCAAAATTATCTCAATGTTATTTATTCTCAATACTGATACCTAAAAAATTGATTAATTTGTGTAAAAATTCTTAATGAGTTTGTGGGAAATTAGCCTACTGTAATAAAACAAAACCCCAAATTTGGGAAATCAACTTTAAATTGAACTTATTAAATTGTTTAAACTTAACCTTTTGTACACAATGTTGGCATAAGCTCCTCCAATCAAACCTCAAAAAACGCCATTGCCTTTCCACATCTCACAATGTGATCCTTAAATGTACACCATCGTACTTAATGTTGAAAACCTCTGGTTGTACCCTATGAACTATCTAATAAAGGTCCATACGTCAGACGATAGGTCAGGTTCAAGTTACGTGTTTTCTGTAAAAAAAAAATAGTTGTATTGAGATGACTTTCGAGTGGAAATATTAGAATATAAAAAGACAGAGTGTTGAAATAGAAGTAACTGTGTTATATTTAAGATCAGAATAGAATAGTAAACAGCATTTGATAATAAACATTTTGGTTGCTATGGTAACAACTGCTTCATATGTTCATAACATTCTCCCCCACTTAATCACTGGAGAGCAAAGTCCTTAAGAAAGGACGGAACCTTGCGCTGTCTGGAAGGACGAGTTAATTTGTTTTCTTTTTGTTCTGTGGCTTGAGGTCTGTCTAGATTTTCTTCCCTTAGAGTACCGTCTAGTTCTGTTGGATTGTTTGAACTTGATTCAGACTCTGGGTGGATCTCTTGTGGTGGTGCTTGACAGTCTATAATAGGTATCCGTCTTGGAACAACAGAACTATCTTGTTTGTTGTGTGTTGTAAATGTAACTTTCTTCTTGGATACAAGAGTCGAAATCAATTGATTTATGTGTCGTTTTAAACTTCGTCCAGAATCCAATTCAACAATATAATGGTATTGACCTAATTTTCTCTTGACTGTACCAAACTGCCATATGTCTTTATTTCCCAGGTGAACTCTTGCCTGAACTCTCTCCCCCACTTTAAGAGAGCGGACGCGAAGAGGAGCAATTGATTTTGATGGAAGTTTTGCCTTTGGGTTAGGGAGAAGTGTGTCAAGTCTAATCCGAATCTTCCTGTTCAAATACAACTCTGCTGGAGTCTTGCCTGATGCCAAAGGTGTTGCTCGATATCTGAACATTATGTTTTGTAGCTTTGTGGTAATTGGGGTTGGATCATCGGCAGCAGCAATAAGTCTTCTCTTTAAGGTTTGTATGTTTCGTTCCGCCAGGCCATTTGTTGCAGGATGGTTAGGAGCAGTAAATTTTTGGAAAATCCCACGTTCTTTACAGTAGTTGATAAATTCCTCACTTTTGAATATAGTGGCATTGTCCGAGACTAAGAACGAGGGGTACCCATGGACCGAGAAAATGTTTTCAAGTAGTGCCATCGTTGTTGCTGAGGAAGGAGCATTTCGAAGAATGCGAACTTCTGCCCACTTTGATTTAGCATCTACACACATGAGGAAATAATTTCCATCCAATGGACCGGCATAATCAATATGCACTCTTTCCCAGTTATCATCGGGCTGATCCCACGGATGAACCGGAGCTTTTGGTGGATTGTGACGAACTTTAGCACAAGCTTCACAGCTTTTCACTAATCTTTCTATGTCTTTGTCCATACCTTCCCAATATACATATCTTCTAGCAAGCTGTTTCATTTTAGTTATTCCGAGGTGTGATTCATGGAGCTCATTTAGAATTTGATTTTGAAGACATTTGGGAATTACGACTCGATCTGATCGGAAAAGTATGTTGTCTGAGATCGTGTAAGGGCTATCTTTGCGACTATTTTTCAGTTCATTCAAAAGAACTTGAAGCTCAGGGTCTTTTGCTGTTTCTTCTTTGATCGTTTCTGCGGTTATCACTGTGCTGGAGATTTGAAGTAAGGTTTCTGCATTGATTGTGTTTATTTCTTTGTCGAATGTTAGTTCAGATGAAATTGATGATTGAACTGGGCTTCGAGACAAACAATCCACGTTTTCATTGTCTTTCCCTTTCTTGCATCGAACTGTATAGTCAAGACCACTGAGGAATGAAGAATAACGCAATAAGCGAGATGAGGTCATTCGTGGCAGGGCACGTCCTGGATGAAAGATATGTGACAATGGTTCATTATCGGTGACAAGAGTGAATTTTTTACCAAAAACGTAATTGTAAAAATGGGTGACTGCGTAGATGATTGCTAGAGCTTCTCTATCAAGTTGGCTGTAATTGGTTTCAGCCTGGGTCAATGCTCTGGATGCATATGCAATTGGTCTTTCTTGACCATCGATATCATGACTGAGTATTGCAGCAATTCCAGTTGGGCTAGCATCTGTTGTGAGAATAACTGGTTTTGATGGGTCGAAAGGAATAAGAACTGTATCACTACAAAGTTCAGATTTCAGATTCAGAAATGAGGCTTCAGCAGCAGCTGACCAAAAGAATTTTTCTCCTTTTCGAAGCAAACATCGTAGCGGATGTGTTTTTGAAGAGAAGTCAGGAATGAATTTTGCATAGTATGTAACTAAGCCAAGAAAGCGTCTTAACTCATCAACATTTCGAGGGCGAGGCATCTGAGTAACTGCTTCAACCTTTTTAGGGCATTTTTGAATCTTATTGAATGACACCACATGTCCAAGGTAATTAATACTTTCCTTGAAGAAAACACATTTTGTTCTGTTAAGATGTAGATCATTCTTCTTGAGACATTCCAAACATGCAATAAGGTTCTTCATACACTCTTCGAGAGTTTCTCCGTGACAAATAATATCATCAAAGTAAGCTTCTACCTTTGATAATCCGTTTAATAGCTGTGACAAAATTCGATTAAACTCAGAAGGGGCTGTTTTTATTCCAAAACTGAGACGATTCATGTTGAACATTCCTTTATGTGTTGATATCGTTTGAATCTTACTTCCCTCTTCATCGACTTTTAGATGCAAATAAGCCTTATGAAGATCCAACTTACAGAAGTATCTTGATCCGCGGAGACTATGTAGGACATCATCAATGCGTCGAATGGGGTGGTTAGATGAGACAAGTTTTGAATTAACCCCACACTTGTAATCTACGCATAGTCTGACTCCTCCATCTGGCTTTGGGATAACAACCAATGGTAACCCCCAATCACTTGATGCGACTGGAGTTATGATTCCTTGAGACTCGAGGGTTGTAAGTTCCTTTTCTACTCTCTCTCGTAATGCGAAAGGGACATCACGTTCCCTAGTAAATACTGGTTTTTCATTATCTCTGAGTTGGAGTTTGACTTCAACATTGGGAACACATCCGATTCTTTCTTCGAAAATTTCTGAGTATTTTTCGAATATATCCTCTAGAGACGGAACTAAATTAACATCAACTGTATTCATCGGTGATTGCTTTCTGTTGTCTACCTCACTGAGTTCAATTCCAAGTCCACGAATCCAAATTCGTCCTAACAAAGCAGAATGACCTGCAGGTACTATAAATAAATCAGCATTTAGTGATTTTGCATTGTAAGAGACTGAGACAGTTACTTTACCTTTAGGTTTTATTATATGATCAGAGTAGGAGCGAAATGAGATAGGAGTTGGTTGAAGTGGCACTTTAAGTCCAAGTTTATCAAAGTCCGTTTCTGAGATTAAGGAAAATTGTGCACCAGAGTCTACTTCAAATGTTTGAGGCTTGTTGTTGATAGTGACTGTAACCATGTATTTGTCTGAGTCTGGTCCTACTATGTAAAGATCTTCCACATCGTTGATTTGTGTGATTCCATACTCATCTGGGTGACTGGATTCATCTTCTGTGTAGTGAGACAACAGGGTGTTTGTTTTAGAGCTCTTTAGTAGAGACGTTATACACACTTTTGATATGTGGCCTTGTTTTCCACAGGAAGTGCATTTAAGATTGTTCCGATTAATTTTGCATTCATTAGACTGATGGTTTGATCGACCACATTTGAAACAAAGTCCATCAATACCCAAAGCTTTGTAGTCAACGTGTCTTTTTAGGCTTTTGTTACGGAAATGTTGTGATTGAGATCTATTGGAACCGCGGTCATCATATTTGGGAGTCTTAAATTGCTTGAAACTTTGATATTCCTTTGTCTTAGACCTTGAATGCCTATCAATTTTGTGTGTATCTGCATTTCCACTTGATGATTGTGTGGCAGGATTACAAATTTTATTTGATTCATAGCGGGAAGCTTCTAGGGCAATTGCTTTTTTGAGGAGTGTGTCAAAACTGTTGAGATTAGTGTCTTGTAGAAGTTGTTCACGTATCCAATTGTCTTTTAGTCCTCTAATAAATTGAGGGCGGAGAAATTCATCAGCAATTGAAATTTTACTTTCACATTCATTGCAAGAAGTGTAAAAATTACAATCATTCAGGTTACCTTTCAGGACTGTGACAAAATCAGAGATAGATTGATGCAACTGTTGTGAAACACTGAGGAAATAGTGTTGTGCAACAATATGAGATACTGTAGGTGACAACATCACTGTGAAATGTTCGATTAGTTTTGAAAAATTAAGGTCTTTTACAGGATTTTCTGGGCCTAAAAGAGTTGTCAGATTATTGTAATGTTCCTTACCAATGGATGAGCACAGGAGTTGAGCCTTCATCTTGTCTTCTTTAATGTTCTTCAAATTGCAATAATTTTCAAAACGTTCCAAATATGATTTGAATTTATCATTATTTGGATCAAAATGTTCAAAAGGATTGATCTGAGGAGTTGAAGTTTTATTACCTAGAGCTGCAGCCAAAACATTCATGAGTCTTTCAAATTGTTCTTCATTCATTTTAAGTTGAAATGTTTAACAAAATAAAATATCTTGAAAATAATAGAGTAAAACAAGAATTGATAATAGTTTTTTACCAAATCGTCACCAACTGAGATGACTTTCAAGTGGAAATATTAGAATATAAAAAGACAGAGTGTTGAAATAGAAGTAACTGTGTTATATTTAAGATCAGAATAGAATAGTAAACAGCATTTGATAATAAACATTTTGGTTGCTATGGTAACAACTGCTTCATATGTTCATAACATGTATACATTCTAGCCTTCTTCAGGTTGGCACAACAAGGTCCATTTAATAACTTTTGTCAGATTTTACAAACTTTCATTATCGTTTATTAACTTTTCCAAATGACGCACATTTTTTTTACAAATTAACCCCTCCCCTATTATTACAATCTATCTATCTATATATTAATAGGCAAGCATGTTTCTTTAAAACCTTTTTTCTCAGCTCGTGTGCATCATAGGGAAAATCTACGCATACTGTTAGAAAGATATTTTTCTGTAGGGGTGCAGAATCCCTTTATAAATTAAAATTGGCTCAAAAATAAGCACAAAATATGAATTCGAAATTTTAAAATATTAACATGGGTTAAATGGGTTGCCATGCTGGTGACGAAATTACAACGAAATATAAACATAAAATCAAAACAAATGAAAGAAATCACATGTTTTATTTACAGTTTGGGATGAAAATAGAGAAGTCTGTACCTTTGACCATTTGACTTAAGTCATTCCATCCCTATGTGAAAGTTGTCACCAGTTTTTTTTAAATTAAATTCATCGTAGTTGATGTGAGCCACCACCAGATTGCGCTGATCTAAATTACTAATTTCTGTCGAATAAACGATGTTTTTTATCAATTCAAGTTTTGGAATGACTTATTATGAGCTATAGCAACTGTTATGATCCATCCACTTTGTCATCAACAACAAATAAGGAAGAAATTAGAATTTTAGACACGCATTCTGTATGGCTCACACAATTACAATGTTTTATAATAAAATGGTCCATATGGATGGGATGTCTACTTCAGTGTCCAATAGTCAATGCGTGTACATTCAATATCTTTGGTCGAAATTTCCACCACTGGACGACCACTAGTATATCTAATTCCGTAAGCCCAAAATTTTACAATGAAATTGTGAGTGAACGGCAGGCCGTAGAAAGCTGGGAGAGGTCTCATTTTAAAGGTCTGGGCATGAAATTTTGGGGAAAATTATTCATTTTTCTTAATTATGCACCAAAAGGTTATTACGGAATAAAACAATTCACATTTAAATAGCATGGGAATCTAATTTTATGTCTTTTTATTTAGTGCAAACACAGCTGTGATTATATAAATTGAAAAATATAACCACACCTGAATGTGCATTATTTTGTTATTGTAAAGTTGTTAGTGAAGTAGTAAACAACACAAAGTGAAAATTAGATCAAATCTTTTGAACAAACAATTTGATACTTTTACACTTAATACTTTACAATGGCTTGCACAGTAATAATGTATAATGTCGGAAGACTACCACTCAGAGGTATTGTTCCTCGAAATGAGAACTATAGGCGCCAGATTTGGCACGATATTAATGGAAGAAGAATAAATGAGCATCGGATGAACATGAAGTTATTCCTGTGTATAGATTACCAATTTTAAATGAGATTGCATTACACAGCATAGGGCCAATGAACGATAGATGCATTCATTGTGGTGCATTGCACAATTTGATTTGGTGAAATTGTGGCGCAAGGCCGAACCTTCACAAAAGATGGCATTTATTTGAAAATCCCAGTGTTTACCCATGGTCAACTTTATATTGCTTTTAGATGGGTAAAGAGGGTAGATGATGTTAATAGCACTAGAACCAAATAAAGGCCAAGGAATAGACCAAAATGGATACTAAACAACAAATGTTGTTTCAGAGAGATTTTGTTATAGAATTAATTAGCATTTTACAATTTGGATGATGACATTATCTCTATATGTGTTTTTCTAAGTGAATTTGTCTATATTTAAAGAAATCTATATATATTTAATTAATAGTCATGAAGATTGTTATTGGAAAATGTTCCTTAGTTGTATTATGATTTGAAAGTTTATATTATAAACACACCGCATATCCTTTGGAATTTGTATTTTAAATAGAGCAGACATCAAAACACATTATGCAGGTATGTAATAACTATTATACATATCATAATAAAAAAGTTAAATGATAATTCAAGGTAGGGTAACCCATGAGACCAATAATTTGTACAAAATAATTACTATAATCTCAGAGTAAATAAAACAAATTTTGTTTTATTTACCCTGAGCTATAATATAGGGGCTATTGCCCCTACAAGCCACTAGTGTATTAAAATTCAACAATTAAGATTTATAATCTGCCATGTTACCAAGGAACATTTTGTGGTCAGTTGATTGTTAATGTGTTGTCTTGTTACAGACAAGACACTATCAATGCACAGACATACTATGAACACTGCAAGCAGGCCATGGGGGACAAGTTCTTGGAAGTGTTCCCAGAACTGCTGGTCTTACTACCGGACATTAACAAACAGCAGGTTGGTAGGATATGATTAGTTATGATGGTGTTTAGGTTTGTGTCCACATTTTGTTGTTTTATTAATCTACAGTTTTAAGTAACCCACTGGCATACTTGGACGGAATATTTCCGTTCTGTCTGTAATGCGCTCTGGCATTCCTAGACGGAACTGTCCCGTCCTGGGACATTGCTACTAGTTTGACATTATTCTGTGAGATTGCAGCTCTTGTCAGGGCAATGATTTTTTCCTATCTATTTGCAATAGTTATTGTGTGCATTTATAGTTTCTTTGGTTGGAAATCAAAATTATTAGCAAACAACTAGTGAGAGTTTTAAGGTTATGTTTTGTGTCGAAATTCCACGACTGTCTACAATTGAGTGAAATAGACCAACGGCATTAAGATTATTGCTAATTGTCTTCCAATTGTTGGAGGAAGATGATAATTTAAGATAAATTAATAATTAATGAGTAAGAAAGATATGAAATTAAATGAAAAATGATTTATTTAATCAGGCAAAGTTAGGGCCACATGGCCCTCTCTTACACTTAACCTGTTTATAAAAATCTAGTTGTTTTTTTTTTATCTAGTTGATATATAGTTGTATTTAAGTCACTGAAAGGGCAAAACAAAATAGGAATTCCTGTTGTCATCAGATAGTGCATTTTGGTATCCCAATAGGTTACATCAGATGTTACCAATAGAAAAGCTGTATTAAATTTAGTAATCATTAATTTTGTGTAATAATCTTTTAACTCAGTCATTTCATTTTCTGCGGTCGTAGAGACATCATCTTCCTCCGCGATTGCGCCAAATCCTGAACATCTTTCACAGTTGTGTGGACATCATTATGGTCTTCAGCAATTATCGCAAAATTCTGAACATCTCCTGTGGTCTTGTAGGCTTAACTGTCGTCTCTCATGACAGCAGCAATATAGTGAACATCTACGATCACAGAATTGTTACCACTAACGCCCACTATTGGAAGCGTGAATTTTTTCGAACGTGTGATCTTTGTGGGCCTTTTCTGTAAACAGGATGATAAAAGCTAAAGCTCAGTCCGAGCTTGGTTTGCTGACATGGGGCTTGATCATTTCCTGACTCACTCAAGCCTTTAGGATCGCACACCATTGAATATCACATCATTTATATGTTTTAATTAATTTCTTAGGAACTCTGGAAGGTAGCTGAGCGGAGGAAGGAGTGGAGGCTGCAAGTGTGTGCTGTCTGCTCTCAGGTCGTGGCGACGTCGGAGTTCAAACTCCACCATACTACTCACTCGCTAGACAACCACTTCCCCACACTGTCCAATGGAGTCACTTCTACGAGCAACGCATGGAAGAAATAGCAAATAAAACTCCACTAAGAGTCTTGCCACTTTGTCAATATTATAATCTCTCTTGAGTTTGCGATTGTTTGAAACCAAACATGAATTAAAATTGTTATCGAGTCAGTGAGAGGTGTTTGGGTTAAAAGAATATTGTTAATTTTATCGAAATAGTCGAGCTTGAAATATTTAATATTTATGTTGTTATTTAGTGGCGTGGCACTTAACTGTGTACATTTCCAGCCATATTTTGCTCATTGTTCTATGTAAATATTTGTGTTTTAATATTTTTATAAAAGGTAGTTTCAGGGTCTTGTCACAATCAGTTTCAATTATAAATGTTTCTAACTTTAACATTTTGCCAGAGATACGTTTATTAGCTTTGAAAGATAACAATTGAATCTCTGTTATGTTTCTTTTTAAAGACCCGGTTTCTGGAGTTCTTTACTATAAAATTATTGTTTGTCGAAACAGCTTGAATCTAAACCAAGAACTGTTTTTGAATGTAGCAAGTTTTTAGAACCATTTGGTATGGGGGGAGGTTCTTTCTTCTAAGGGTCTAGAACAGAACAGTATGAGAAAACTGTGAGAATGAGAGTATTTTCATTTTGAATTGAATTTGTTTCCTAAGTTCATAATGTAAGCTGTACCTTATATAATTAAGAAGTCAATCAATATAACATAATCTTTTTGTGCCATCTACCATCAATATTAAAGTAGGCTATCTAATTTTTGTGTTATCTACGCCAATGGCATTTTTTTACGTTTTGAAATGGAACTGTTCAAAACCTGGTCCTGTTACGATCTAATATCAACCTTTTAGTTAGATAGCATAATTAATTCATAGCCAAATGACTAATGGCATCTGGGTATGGGAACGATCTTGCTTGGAATTGAACCAACAACCTTCAGATTTGAAGACAAGCACTAACTTTTTAGTTATTCATTTATTCAAGCAATTATTACTCTTTTTGATCCACCACGTTTATTTACCCTGCCAGTGACAGTTGTGAATGAAAAATTGAGTTCATGCCTTGATGAAAAAAGCAGAAGTATCAAACCAGCTTGGAATTAAAGATGGTTGGGATGTCAGATACGTTTACTTATAGCGCAACGACTGAGTTAAACTAGCTAATCTGGTAAAAAATGTGTTCCAATTTTCCCTGATACTACCTGTCTTATCAATTTTATTTCTGATAAATATACTGAAATGAATTTTAATTCATAAATCATTAGTTAACAAATAGGGGTTTTCTTTTCATTTGAAAATATACTACTTTAACTTTGTATAAATATTATATTAACTATTAACATTATATTACAGTTTAAGGTTACAGACTTAGACAAGATTGTTTTTTTGTTACATTGTATATTTTGCTTGATGAGGATATGTATTCTTAAAATATATTTTTTTGAAAGCTATTTTAGTAGAACAGAGTTAGTTATGATTTGTCAGTGTACAATTTTCTGGAGTGATAAAACTTATTATGGAAAGATAAATCCAATATTCTAATTAACTTATCAACTAGCAGTTACAAGAACATTGATGTCCAGTCTTAGAAATTTAATTGAAATTAAATTAAACTATTATTTGAAAAATAAAATGTCCAAGCCACTTGAAGATATTTTAATTTTACTTTAGTTTTAATTTTTAATGTCTCAATCAATTGTGTGTCTTAAATACTCTCATGCCTTATGATGTAAACTTTTTGGGGTTTGATTGAAGCACTTGCTGGTAATTTGAAAAAGAAGCGTATTTTCAAGTGTTATCTAGTTCATTTCCAGAAGTCGGACATAAAGATCAATTGTTTGTGTTGAGTTTTACTATGAGATAACTTAACTAGATTTTATGGTTCCATATATGTATATTAGAAACATTCTTTAGTGTTTGGTTGTTTTGTAATTATATTTTATTACTAATTTTAGATATTTATTTTAGTTCTTTAGTGTTTTGAGCAGCTGAAGAATATTTTTGAGCTTACGGTTAACAATATTTTCAGTGGTAAACGTATTTCGAAACAAATATTAACATTTATGCTTATTAAACTTAACTTTCCTTGTAAAAAATATATATTAAAATTATTTTTATTGTAACTCTTGTGTTAAGAGAAGTTTTTAAAATTACTCAATCTATAGCTGGAATTTTATATTTGAAAGTGAAATAATCCCTTACACAGCCTTAACAGTTCCGATCCTTTATTTTCAAAGAAGATGATAAAAAACATGTTCAATATTTTGGTAACTTATTGACTTTAAAATATGCGTTATCAGCAAGGTTAATAAAATTACCCTTAACATGTGTTCATGTTTGTTTACTGCTTAATTCAATACTTCAAGTCTTTGGAGTCCCATTTTCATCAACTAAACATGGGCTAAGGGTTATGGGATATTAATCATTACATTCTGCGAATAATTGTTCGGCTTCTAAACTAGCTCAAGATGTACTTATGTGTAAATGTACATATGTTAATATACGTTGAGCATTTTTTACTGTGTACAAAATATTTTAAAAATTTCTCGGGGTACAAATTCCCTTTGTTGTGATAGATTGTACATTTTCAGATTCGCTTTACATATTTTTCAAATGTAAAATGTAACCATAAAAATATTTTGTAAATTGTAAAGAAAGTTGAATAAAGTGTTTAAATAATAGGTTAATTATTATTACTTTTCCTGAAGTTTTCTAGGTAGCCTGTTCTGTTCCTGTGTGTTAATTATTTTATATTTGAATTAGGTTTTGTAAGTGGTAGAAATTTTAAAAGGAGTGGTTCTTAAAAACTGTATTATGAGTGGAACGGAAGAACAAAGGATATTAAGCTAACATGATTGATACCTGAATCTATTTGACTTAAAAGGGAAATATAACATAAGTGGCCATCTATAGGCTATTTGATTTGGACTATGAAAAAGGTACTGTCTGGATGGATTCAATGCTTCCAAGATAAAAGTGTCAAATTAATGAGTGATCAGAACACTCCTACTCATCCTACTACGGTACTCATACTAATAAGATTGTGAAATGAAAAATATTCATCCATGCATTCAGGCAAAGAGCGACAAGGCTCTTACATGTAGCCTGTCAAATTTATGTTTGTATACTGTAACGGGCTTTCTGATTGGGGAAGAAAGAGTCCACTACAGTTTAAGAAACACTAAACTAAGTCACTGATAGCGTTTTGTACCAAGAAAGGTTTGATTTGGGACGAAAGTGAAGTAGTGGAGACCGTGTTACTACTCTACTGTTTACAAAAAATCTATATATATACAGTATACATATCGATAGGACCGTAACGAGACGATATGATTCCATCGGTGTTTGTGGCGTAGTTGATAGTGTCTCGGACTGGTGATCTGGAGGTCTCCAATTCGAATCCAACCAGTGACACTAACTTTTTGTCCAGGATTTTGTTAAGAATACAAATACTTCTTAACTGGTACATCTTTTGTTAGAATTTGAGGCATTTCTAATTTTATTTATGAACAGAACTATTTTTTTAAATTAGTAAACCCTCATTCGATTTTTATCTTATATATTTTTTATATTATCAGAAAGTTTGGTTGGTTCGGTTAGAACTAAAAAAATACCTATCAAATAAATTTATAAAGATTTCCTTAAATCGACGTGAGGGCCTCTCCCACAATCCTCCACTCCTTCACAGAAAAGGTTCTAATCAGTTCCTGGAAGAGGAAAATGAGACGCTAGTTTTAAACCCCCTCTGCTATAACCAGTGGCTACTTTCGAGGTCATGGTGGAAGGAAGTTGGGGGGGCCTGAGGCAGCTTAGACGGCTTAGATGAGGGGACCTTTATATATATATATATACATATATACATGAAATAATAAATACCATATAGTAGGCCTACTAGTAGGTAGTACCCTGTTTGAAATAATTTTTGTATGAAATGATTTTTGGGGGAGCTAGCTCGCTAGCTGGTCTAGTGGTTAGAGCGCTGGACTTCAGTTCCAGAGGTCCCGGGTTCAAACCCCGCCAAATCACCAATGGATTTTATCCATGTGATAATGCCACAACTCCAAGGTAATAAACTAGCAAAATATGGATATATAATCGATGATATCATCAGAACTAAAGGGAAATTCAACAAAGCTCCGGGAAATGTATAGAACTCAGTTTGGCAGCACTGAACAAGATATTATCGTCTTCTTGAATCCTCTCTCTAGTATCTTCTGCTGTGTTCTAGAAGAAAATACTGGTTGGGATCATCGTGGGCAGTTATAGTGATTATGTCTTTTTCGTACACGTTTCGAGACAGACCAAGGTTGAGTGATCGAATACGTGGGAAGTCGGGCGATGAGTTATTTAATGAATTGAGAAAAGAATTTGATCAAGACAGAAAGTCTTTTTTTGACAGACCGTCCTCAAATTTTGGATCCTCAGCCGGCTCAACATTTCCAAGGGTAAGCTTATTTTTTTAAATTTGCACTTTACACAGGCCGAAAAATAATTATAAAGCCCATAGGCCTATTGTTAGGTTAACAAGAGGATTTCCATGTTTTGCTGTTTCACTTTCATTCAATTAAGTGTAAGGAGTAACCGGCTATTCTTCCCATAAGTTAGACAGTCTATTTCTAGATTTGAAAGTTTTTCAAAATAAACTTCTGTTTAGTGCTGTGTAGATTTGTGTTTGCTGATTGTTAGTTTATAAGTAGGGCTACCCTAGATGTTCAATGGGTTTAGATTGGTTTATCATAGTTTACCCTAGCTTATTGTTTAAACATTGTTTGTCCATGTTAACGCCAAAAAGTGGCAGTTTTCATGAATTAATTAAAAATGCTTTTTCAAATCAGTCCTAAGTTAACTCATCACATTTATGTTGATATTCTAGAGAACGTAGGCCTACGTGTTTCTCACATTGAAATCTGAGGCGCACTAAGTTTAGGCTAGCAACACACTCCTACCTGTGATCTTTTATTTTGGTATTTTTCTAATACCTAGCCTATAGCATAAATGTAGGCCTAGATAAGTTATGTCAGTGTTGTTACTGTTGTGAGCTCATGATAATCACTGGGTGTAGGTCAGGCTTGGTCATCAAATTGATTTACTTAATGAGACATAAAACAATTTGTTGAATACTAAGTGTCAAGAACTTCAACGGTTAGTCAATCTAAAGCTCTCTGGCAACTCAATAACATTTGTAGTGTACCAACTTAACTCGACTAAGTTAAGTAGTCTAAATTGGATAAGTTATGGATATAATGTTAAGATAGTTTTCAGACAGTGGTCAACATCAGTACGGTACTGCGAATACCCTAGGCTAACTAACAATTAAGCTTTCTTGTTGGTTTCAATCTTGTAAACATTAAACTGGTTCTCCTGAGGAATTGACATTAATGATAAGATCCATGAAGGTATGGTATAGGGGTCCTTACAGAGGGTTAAGCTTAATATTATATTTTATTTATTTTACATACCACTGGACAAACTCCATTTTTACATTCTATCTTACAAACAAAACAAGATGGAAAAATATTGAATAACAATCCAATAGCATTCGCTCTGGCCTTAAGTGAAAATACATGCATTTAGATAATACATACAAGCTGTAATAGTTGTATATGGAATTAAATATTTGCCTGGCATTGTAGTGTGGTTTTGTTAAGTATTTATAACTTAATTAGCTTAACAAACTAACTTAAGTAAATTAAGGCTACCTACTACATTAAATGTATCATCCATGTCCTAATGATTTACGAATTGGTGCTCATAATTGCTCAAGTTTCGACAAATAAATTTAGATAGGGCCTAGGCAAAGTAAAAACTCAGATTTTTATTTGGAAGTTAACCATAATTGAACTGTTGCTAAATAATAATTAGAGTTTAAAACACACACACACACATCTATGAATTAAACATGTGTGTTTTAATCCCACTTCGATGTTTTAATTTGTCATGAATGAAATTTAATAGGATCTACTTTTATTTACCAAACCAAGGTAGAAAGTTTGTAGGGCTAATTTGTTTTTAATTGTGAGTCAGTTGAAAGTTATAAAAATACCCCTGCCGCAGCAAACCTGCCGACTAAGCGAATTTCCATTTGCCTGCAATTAATCTATTTAAATAACATTAGGTTTAACAAGCACCTAAATTTGCTGAAACTAATAAAGTGTGTTTATTATAGCTTAAAGAAAATAATTATAGCTTAGTATAAATTCAATAAATATGCCAAGTTTGATCAAAATATATCCAGAAAACAAGCAAACTACAACATTTTACATTATTCTCCATAAGAATAACATGGGAATTTTAAATTACAATTTTTCTCCGTGACCAATAATCATATAAAAACACTTTGATATAGCCTACAGAATTATTTGTGATTTAGCGAATTTCCCATATAGGGAATAAGTTATTACCGTAGTACTCATGGTAAGACCCGGACCCGGGACCGATTTAATTTTTTGTTTTGAGGTCCCTAGAGGCCAAAAACACCATCCGTTCAAATTCATATATATATCTGTTAGCGCGATAACTCGAGCAAAAATGATCCGATTTTGATGAAATTTGGTACAAACGTGTAAACCTACGTTTATTTGAACGAGTTCGCGAACCAGCATAATCGGACCATGGGAACGGGGTTTTATGGGGTAAATATTGGTTTTTCCCATTTTTGACCCTAAAAACAAAAAATTTTGAAATTTCTTTTTAAACCGTTTTGTAGAACTTAAAAAAAGAAATAATTTAGTATATTGAAGCGCTGGTGTATGCCCAACAGTCACGGAGAAAATTAAAAAATTGTGTAATTTAAAATTCCTATGTTATTCTTATGGAGAAAACGAAAACTGTTGTAGTTTTAGTTTACTTGTTTATGGATAGGGTATATATTGATAACATTTGGCAAATGTATTTATTTCATCCTATACTATTGACGTATGGTCAAAAAACACTTTTTACCTTCCCCGTAGCAGAAAACACCATGTTTTGTTAAAATCTTATGTTATTTAAATTGGGAATAAATTTGTCTTAGTTATGGAAGTATTTTAGTAAAAATGTAATCAAAAAATAACTTCTTGATCAGCATTGTACGTGTTATTAAATTTACGGAAAGTAAATAAAAGAAACGTCTTATAACACTTAAAACATATATTTACGCTCATACTGTTACTCACAAGACGGTAAATATACAAAATACCCCCGCCGCAGCAAACCTGCAGACTAAGCGAATTTCCATTGACCTGATTGGATTTACACTAAAATGCCTCCATAAAAATAGCACATTTATTTTCTATTTAAATAGAATTAGTTTAACAAGTACCTTAGGTTTGCTGCAACAGGGAGGGTAAAAAAGATTTTTTTATAAAATGATAATAGTTTAGTAAGAAATAAAAGTATTTTCAAAATCAATCAAAATATGTTCATAAACAAGCAAACTACAACAGTTGACTTATTCTCCATAAGAATAACATGGGAATTTTAAAATTACAATTTTTTTGAATTTTCTCCGTAACAATTAGGCGCATAATAACGCTTCAATATACTAAATTATTTGTTTTTTTAAGCTCTACAAAGTGGTTTAAAAAGAAATTGTGAAATTTTGTGTTTTTAGGGGCAAAAATGGGGAAAACCTATTTTTACCCCATAAAACCCCCCATAAACCCCCGTTCCCATAGTCCGATCATGCTGGTTCGCGAACTCATTCAAGTTTATCCCGCCTTACACCTTCAAACCAAATTTTATCAAAATCGGACAAAAATTACTCAAGTTATCGTGCGGATGGACATATATATATATATATATATATATATATCTATATATAGATATATAAAAATTTGAACGAATGGTGTTTTTGGCCTCTGGGGACATCAAAATGAAAAAGTAAATCGGTCCCGGGCTTAGGTCTTACCATGAGACCTACGGTAATAGCTACTTCCCTATAGGGAAATTCGCTAAAAGGTGGTAAGTGGTGATCGATTTCGATTGGACACTCCAATCATCATCAGACCCAATAGGCGAATGACAAGAATCTTGAATGGCGTCCCTACTTATACCCTATTGGCTACCGGAAGCACCGGCCAATACATTTTTATAAGTGCAACTGGAATCAAAATGTATTTGTTCATTAATCAACTTATTTCTATCTTTACATTTTTCCTTATAAATATACAATTCTTCCCAAGCATTCATTACATATCCTTTCTTACAATTCTTTAAAATATCTAGACTATCCTCCATTTTTCCTAGTGAGTGCCCATTTTGTAACAGGTGTTGTGCGACATTTGATCTTTCCGGTTTGTTGTTCCTCCATGCAGATATGTGGTTTTTGAAGCGGTTAACGAAGTTCACAGTCTGTCCGATGTAGAAGCTATCACAATCGTCACAATTGATTTTATATATGCCTGAAGTGTCGAATTTGTTACAATCTTCTATTTTTGGATGCAGTATTTTACTCATGGTGTTCTGAGTCCTGTAGGCTATTGAAACTCCGTATTTCTTGAATCTGTTAGCAGTCCTTTGTGTTGTAGTCCCCGTGTAGCTAAATGTGATATATCTAGTGTTTTCCTCTTTTATCTCTTCTAATGTTGTTCTGCTGTGTAGTGTATTCTGTCTATCGATTTTCCTCCTCGTCTTCCTTGCGATGTCCTCTATCGTCTTGGTCCGAAATCCATTCACTTGACAGATCGCTTAAGAAGATCGCTCAAGTTACTTATCATGTTTACGGACATATATATATATATACAGGGTGTTTCAGTAAAGCTATGCAGATTCAGATTCTACACATGCAAAAATAAGTCGAAAATGTAGAATAACTTTTTTTGATTTCGGGTTAGTTTGGCCGTAATCCGCCATTTTGTATTTTTTTGAAAATAATTAATAACTCAAAATCGCCTGGAGATATTTTTATAAAACTTGGTATAAACAATAATTCTACAGGTATAAACATTCTCCGAAAATATCTTTGATCAGGCTCATCAAATTTTCAAAATGGCGACCATTAAAATTTTTGTTTTAATGGCTGGTTTTAATGAAATTTTACTTTACAAATTTTAAATGGGTGCCATTTTGAAATTTGATGAGACTATGCAAAGATATTTTCGGAGAATGTTTATACCTGTAGAATTAAAGTTTATACCAAGTTTTATAAAAATATCTCCAAGGGATTTCGAGTTATTAATTATTTTCAAATAAATACAAAATGATGGATTACGGCCAAACTAAGCCGAAATCGAATAAAAGTTATTCTACATTTTCGACTTATTTTCGCATGAAGAATCTGAATCTGCATAGCCCGCTACGCTTTACTGAAACACCCTGTATATTTGGTCTCTGGGGACATCAAAATAAAAAAGTAAATTGGTCCTGGGCCTAAGTCTTACTGTGCCACCTACGGTAACAGCTACTTCCCTTTAGGGAAATTCCCTAAACTAATTAAAAAGTATTGTAATTTATCTTCAATTAAAAA